ATTGCATAATGCTAATTAGAAAACTTTTCCAACATAATTATGATGACGCCAGGTGTTTCTGTGCTTCAGCAAATGCATATGTCAAACAAAAGAGAAAAACAAAGATATAAACAGAATCTTCAATTTTATGCCTGTTGACTTGACTTCAGGACACATTAAGAGAAAACCTGAAATGATTTTGTAATGAGCTACAATACAGTGATAGTGATATTTACCAGTTCTACTCTGGTTCTTTCTCTGGCTTATGATGAATGCCGTAACTTGTCATATTTTAACTAGATGTGGTATAGTAGACCTTCCAGTAGTTTATTTTAAATCACTGAGGGAGGCTGGTCAATTTTAATCTTCATCCACACATCTTAATAAGGTAACGCAATTATTATTATTGTTTTGTTTCCTTTTTTCTTTATAGCTGCTGATTTCTTTTCTTGCCATGAATACTAACTTTAAAAAAGTACTCAAGTCAATCCTATTTTACTTTCCTTTCAAAAGTATTACAGTTATTAATGATGATTAGGTAAATTAGTTTCAGCAAACCTTCTTTTAATACTGTACACACTGACAAATGGAATCTCAAGTACAAGTATAGAAATTTGTGAATGCCATCATTAAAACTGTACATGTGGAAATGCTGAAATAATTTGTTGATATTGTTTGTAAATAATGTTTATGTAGTGACATACTTATCAGCACACTATACAATAAGTATAAAGCTTTTTTTTTCTTTTTTGAGAATTGTGTTGTCTTTCTTTATACACTTTTAATATGACCTAAGAGACAGCCGCAGGACAATTTCTGTTCAGATGAATTTTACTGAGAGCCTGACTAGAATATTCAGCATATGTGGTTTTATTTGTTCAGAGATTATTGAACATCCAACATGATCCAAAAATGTTTCTGTGTAACCTGAACCTTTTTTAATGCACTCTATTTGGGACATGTTTTGCCAGGAACATTTGAATATAAATTGACTGAACTATAAACTGCAGCTCACCAAATATTCCCTTAGGATGGTAACTAGAAGAAGTAGTTTTTGTATGGCATTTCTATTACTGTGTCTCACTGTGTCTTTCGGGTACAGTAATACACTGCCGTGTCTTCAGTCTTCAAACTGTTCATCTGTAGATAGAGTTTACTGCTGGGATCATCTCTGGAGATGGTGAATCTACCCTGGACTGACTGGGAGTAAAAGGCAGAATAACTATAACTTGAAGTCTCTATGAGGGCAACCCACTCCAGTCCTTTTCCAGGAGCCTGTCTAACCCAGAGCATAGCATGGCTGCTGAATGTGAGTCCAGAGGCTGTGCAGGTCAATCTGTGAGATTCTCCAAGCCTTTTAATGACTGGTTCAGATTCTGTCAGCGTCTGACTATCAGCACCTGGTAGACATTTGAAAAATGTGTTGAATTTAAGTTAGCTCAGAAAAGGAACATGTATATCAAAACTGAGGTAATAGAAAATCTTCACCTGCCCAGCAGAGAGTTAAAAGCAGCAGTCCTGTCCTGTAGTCCATCATGTTGGGGTTTTTTTTGTTCTCTACCATCCTCTGTGCTCATTTAAGAAGTGTGACAGTGTCTAGGTTTTGCATACACGCCTCCTCACTGGAAACACAGTACTGAAAAAGAACTGACTTTGTTTGTTGTTAAACTAAATTGTTTGTTTCTGCAAATTTGTCACTGCAGAACAGAAAATGAAAATATAAACAAGCACATTCAATGAACCCAGTTTGTTTCTGCAGTCAAAATGTGTTTTGTGGTGACTTTTGTGGTTATTTTTCGCCCACTTCACCAGCCCTCTGTCACTGCAGATGGCCTGTGAGTTTGGTTCTCCCTGGAGATCTCCTCCTCTTCCTCCTTACCTGCAACAGGTTTTTGCTTAAACAGGATCAACAGAGTTCTCTGTCTGATAAACTCTGAACCTGGTCTGAACAAAGCATAATCAAAAACTGGAAACCAGCCCCTAATAATCCAAAACCTTTTGATATTAGCTTTGGTTGATCAGGATCATCTGCTCTTGCTCTTCTGTGGCATTTTCAGCCCAGGTGCTATTCCTAAATGTCTTGTTACAACTTCCATTATGTCCTCTTGTACCTGTAGCCTTTGTAATGCTTCCAAATCTCCTCCATTGTGTAAAAACAGCTGATTCAAGTCACAGAGGGACAAATCAGGTTAATAATGCAGGTGCTAAACAAAGATTATGTTGGTGTTCTTTGATATTCTGCTCAGCTGACACAAAGCCTCTCTTGAAAACTGACTTGTAAGACAAGATATTGAACCAATCTGCCCATTTAAAGACAACTGTCTTGCTGGTAGAGACACCGAGTCACTACTAATCCACTCAAATCCTTGGAAGCTGTCTTTTTGATTAGGAAAAGATTTTTTCTCAAGGTGTTTAGTATAATTGTATTGTGTCACATTTTTACAACTCAAAGCAAAGGCATCATTTAGTTTCACTATGGTGTGGAGCCTGTACAGAAACTAAAAGTCAGCAATGGTCACTGTGAGTTTTCAGTCTTGTACTGAACTTAGAAACTATATTTTGTTCTAAAAACTTCCAAGATCTTCCCTGATCCATTGCA